CTGCATAGATGCTACTCTTTCCATTTCATTTCTCCGCACTACTTGATAGCTATTGAGTTGTTGGTTGAGGAGTGAGATGCCTCATGAGCAGTGGTCATGTTCCCCTTTCCTGTTTTAGAATGGTGGTGAGGAGTAGAAAATGTCACCCTGGGGCCAGCAGATGCAGCAGGGGATGAAATTTAGGATGAAGAGAGATTGGCCTGCTTTTGATGTACAATTGATGTACAATTGGCTTATTGTCCCCACTTCATAGACAGAGACGGAGGCCCAGGGAGCTCCAAGAACCTGGGTAGAGTTGGAATTGGGAACGGAATTCTACCTAAAGAACCAACTGGTCACATTCTGCTAATTTGACAGGTGATAAAACAGTCTCAGGGAGGACAATGACTTGCCCAAGGCCTCTTGGCAGAGCAACAGACACCTGAACTCAGGCCTCCTGACTGCTGGGTCAGGACTGCTGACTGCTGGCTTTTCCAGCTGCTCCAGGCTGAAGACCAGGGTTGATGCTGTGAGGAGCTCTGGGGAGGGTAGGATGGGTGTCTTGCAGCATCTCGTCCCATGGCTCCTCCCTGAAGCCCAGCTGGGATTTGGGATCTAGAGGAAAGAGCTACCACTCACCATCCAGCAGTCTGGGTCTGAGCCCAGCCCGAAGCTGACAGGTGCTCAGAAAGCCTCTGTTAGATTACAACGAGTCCCCATGTCACGGTGATTTTCAAAGAATGCAAGGGACTTGCCCAAGGTCACCCAACACATCATGGGCTAATACAGGGCTCAGATCCTTGCATGGAGTCTGTCAGGGGTCAGTCTCCTGCTGATTTTGGTTTTAGAGGGAGTATCAGGAACACTTTGTTCCTTCAGCCTTCATCCTCCCCTCTTCACTCTCTCCAAGGCCAGATATCAGCTCTCACGAAGCTGCCTGAAGCCAGCTCTCTAGTCCTTTCTCCTGGTCCTTCCACTCATCCTTAGCTCCTCTTTCCTGGCAGCTCTTTGACTTTTACCCCTGACCTTGGACTCATACCCTCCAGTGGTGCCTCCCCATCCTTCCTCAAACAGCTCAATCCCGCTTCCTTCAGCAAGACCTTCCCTATTCAGACTCCTTCGCCATCATTGATCAACATCCCTCTTCTCTGGGCTTCTATAACTGAGCCGACAACAAAGAAGAGGAAAAGAAGAGACAACTATAGCAGCCATCTCAGCCCCTCACCTGTGTTGGTGCCTCACTGTCAGTGAGCACCTTTTCATACATCATCTCAGGTGTAGGTATGCGAGTTGGTAGGTATGTGAGTCCGTCATTGTTGGCTATGATGTTTTGCAGATGTTCAAAGGGAGGTCATGGATGTTTAGTGAGCTGTCCCTGATCCACTACTGGCTGGTGGCTAAACTGAGATTCAGACTAGCTATATGGAGCCCCTCGCCAGCTCCCACTTCCTCAAAGCTCACAGCCTCTCAACACAGGCTGCTGATTTCACTGCATGGCCAAAGCTCCAGAGATGACCATTCCACCACGGGGTCCCTTGCCAAGAAGCACAGTTTTGCCAACGAGGGATGATCACAGCACATTTTGGGCCTTTCCTAGCTTCAGGCCTCCTGGGTTGGAGCTCCCAGGCTGGCAGGAGCAGATGGGACTCCTGTGGGACTGCCACAGATAAGTGGTGTTGAGCGGGGCAGAGAAAAGATAGTGCTTACTCCCAGTTACATACCGTGAGTCAGTACCCTCTGAAACCCTGGTTCCTCACTCTTTCTCTTACCCCCTTTCATCTACAGATATTAGCTTAGCAGCTTCAAGGTCATTGATAATTTTATCTTCTACCAACAGGGCTGGCTGTGACTCAGTGGACACCTTGCCTTTTAAGTTTGGAGCCTTAATCTAAACTTATGAACTCATGTGGCCTTAGGTGGGGTCTACTTCCTGTTCTCAGGCCTGTCTTTCCTTATCAGCTTCATCTTCCCTTATTGTTGATGGTGTTAGTTGCCCTCAGGTTGGCTCCAACTCATAGTGATTCCATGTACAACAGAACAAAATGGTGTCTGGTCCTGAGCCATCCCCATGATCATTGACATGTTTCAGTCCATTGGACAATACTCTGTTGTGAACCACAGGGTTTGTTTGCATTGTCTAATTTTTGGAATTAGATTTCCGGGATTTTCCTCCTAGTCTATCTTAGCCTGGAAGCTCTGTTGAAACATGTCCACCATTGGTGACCTGCTAGTATTTGAAATACTGGTGGCATAACTTCCAGTGTCAAAGCAACATGCAAGCCACTGAAGTGGGACAAACTGCCAGACTGCTCGTGGTCTTCCCCCATGGCTGGGGGCTTTCTTCCCTCTCTAGGGTTGTGGTAACAAGGTCCCATTTAGTGACCGTATTGGCACCAGTTTGGGCAGGAGATAGGGGAAAGAGTGGCTCTCAGCAGGAGGTCGACAAGTTCCTGATCAATGAGCAGTGACCCAGAAGCTCTGGCCAGCTGTGTAGGGGTAGGCCATATCTCACATTGTGTTCTGGAAGCATCTGCTCAGGAAAACTTGGGTTTAAAGTGTCCTTTAGAAAAGATCAATGAGGATGAGCAATCACAAAAGGGCCTCAGGCAGCCTGGGGACCATGGTTGGGGGTAATTGCTGATGATATTTTTAGTTATTTTTACTTCTATCTCTGCCTGGCCCCTCTCCATGCATTGCACCCCTTGCCCCATGCTTACCCTTTCCTGAAATGTCCCCCACTCCCCGTTCACCTGGCTCACTCTTCCTCTTTCTAGTTCTGATCAAACCAGAGCATTCTCTGCTCTTCCCCCAAGCTTACCTCATTCCCAGGTCAAATTTTTCACTAGATGCTTGGAGCCTTAGTACTTCTCCTTCAAAGCACATATCACAATTGTGATTTTTCTAGATATTTGTTTAATGTTTGTTGGTGGTGTGTCTTCCCTACCAGGTAGGAGCCAGGTGTGACTTTTTCACTGTTGGATCCTCAGGGTCAGTGCCCATGACCTGGGATGGAGAAGCTGCTCTTTTGTTGCAGGAATGAATGAATGAAAGAAATTCCTGGCTTCTCCTTGGCCACTATCCCTTCCCCTCTCTGCCATCCTTATGCTACTGTCCTAGAAAGATCAAAAGAAGCCTTGGTCCCTTACCTTTTGGGATTTGCTCATTCCGTAGACTCCATTTTCTGTGCCTTGTCCTTTTGGAACTTGTCACAGCCTGGCCTGGGCCTGGACTTTTCCTGTGGGTGGAAGCTCCCTGAGGGCAGGGACTCTGCCTGGCCCAGAGACAGGTGAAAACACTTTGCAGAATGTAGGAATGACTGGAGCTGTGGCTGAGGGGCTGACTTCTTCTGGAGGGGCACCCCCAGTGGAGAATCCTGCTCCAGAGTCCACAGAAGAGGAATTCTTGATCCCTGTGGGCATTATGTCCCTGGTGGTGGAGACAGCTAATGTACTTGGCTGGTAATGGACAAGTGGGGGGTTCAAATCCACCAAGATTCACCTTTGAGGAAAGGCCTGGAGGTCTGCTTCCAAAAAAAAAAAAAAAAAATCAATCATAGAAAACCCTGTGGAGCATAGTTCTACTTTGACACACATGGGTCAACGTGCCATGAGTCAGGTCAACAGGATGGCAATGGGTTGATTTTTTTGGTCTTTCTTGGTGGACATTTTGCTGGGTTCTGAATATGCCCTTACACAATTCATGCTCTTTGGGATGGGTGTGTAGGGGATAATGGGGAAGACCCATACCATGGATGCTGCCCAATGACAACTTCAGTGGGAAGGACAAGTGTGGATGGGAGAGGACAAGAAGTGGACCAGGCTCTGGAGGCAGATGGGCTCTGTCCCCAAGGCCATTCACCTTTGGGCAGTGATGGGTGGGAACAGCCATCACCACCCGGAAGTAGATGCTGTTCCACCACTGTTTGCTAGTGGTAGGCAGGGAGGGCTTGAGGCCAAACAGAGTCCTGGCAGGGTTTGTGCAGGTCCTTCTCCTCCCTAAGCCTCATCACCTGAACAGGGCTCCCCTGTCCCCAAGTAACCACTGTTGGCTCCAGGGTGGCCTCTGTGAGCATCTCTCAGCCCTCCCTCCTGACTAGAACTGCCTGGCCAACTCTGTTATAGGCTCCCTGTGTGACCTTGGGCAAGTCATACCTTCTCTCTGTCCTAAGCCCCAGCTTGCACCCTTAACACCTGTTTCTAAGTGGGCCAGCTGAGTCCCCAACAAGGGTCAGGGTTTGATAAGCTGCTTGGAAGGGGTTCTCTGATATTGTCCCCCCCCACCTGCCTCAGAAGGGCCCCAAATGGCATTATTGGGAAGCAAAAGAGGCCCAGGACAAGGAAATGGTTCCCTGGGAATTCCGTCTCTCTTCCTCAGAGCCTCAGGTTATGGAAGGGGAGTCAGGAAGGTGAGAGGTGGTCATCTCTGTGACGAACAGATTGCAATTGTGCTGAACTTCCCAACAGTATCTGGGAACTGCCTTTCCTTCCCAGAAGGTTATCCAGGGAGATGGAGACCTTGCTGACTTTACCATCCCGTGGTCTCTCCCACCCATTTCACCAAGGAGAAGCCCGGTGTGGGACTGGTCCAAGAGTAGGCGGGTGAGTTGTAGCTTCTAAACCCCCGCCTCCAGGCCACCTGGTCCCTGAGGGAGCGGCTCTAGGTCTGCCCGGGGTGCGGCCTCCTGGCGGGCCCAGAGGCAGTCCGGCCGGTGGCTGCGGAGAGCAAAGCAGGCCATTGTGCTAGCCGGGCACCCCCCCCCCCGGCCGGCCCCTCCCTGCTCGGTGACAGCCCTTACCTGCCCACGTTGTGGCCCCGCCAGCAGCTCCGGCCTCTGAGGCACCGCGCGTCCTGGCGCCCCACTCCCCGACAGAACGCATAGCGCAGCGCAGCGCAGGGACCCCGCACTGCCGTGTCGCTGTCCAGGCGTCGAAGGTCCCCTCCTCCGGGGCTGATCATTAACCCAGAGGCCGTATAAGAAGGCTGCGCCCGACCGACCGGGGCGGGCGGGATACATTGCAGCCATGGACCTCAGCACTTCGAGTCCCGCGGTCACCGCCTCCCCGGAGCCCCTGGCGTCCCATGAGCGCATCCGCAATGCGGCAGACATCTCGGTCATCGTCATCTATTTCGTGGTGGTGATGGCTGTTGGACTCTGGGTAGGTAAGGGCCTGAGAAGGCCGGCTGAGGAGCCAGGGCAACGGGAGGGACCCGGGGCGCATAGAAAGCGCATAGAAACACTCCAACGGGGAGTGGGGGCTGTGGGTTTAATTGTGAGGTCTGCGGAGCAGAGTCCGAACGACTGGAGCCTTGGAAGCTCTTGAGGAAAGTTCATAGGGCACAGTGTGAGGTGAAGGGGACCAAGTCAGGATGAGAAGGGAGAGAGGTGCTAAGAGGAGTCAGCCAGGAAGGCCGGAAGAGGATGTGGAGGGTGTGTATGGGTCAGCGTGGGAATGGGACTCCATTGACAGAGGGTGTGAGGGGCCAGGACCTGCAGCTTGCTGCTGCAGGGAGGGTCTGGGGCTTGGGAGGTGAGCCCACACAGAGGTGATTGTCTAGCCAGAGGGAAAAGAAACAGTGTCAAAATAGAGGGACACAAGCTCTCAGACTGGCCACCAGCTGCAGGTGCCTGGACAGCTGGTGGAAATCTGCCAAAGGCACCTCCTGGGAAGACTGGCTCACAGACCTGGTGCCCTGGGTTGCAGGGGCTGGAGCAGTTGGAGTCCTGGCAGCAAGGCCAGGAGGAGGAAGGCAGGAGGCTGGCCTGGCTCTGGAAGAGGGAAGTGCTGTGACTCCCCTTTGGGACTCTGGGGACACACCAAACCAGAGAAACTTGTTCTCAGTGCCTGGAACTGAGAGATTTCACTATGACAGATTCTGGCACACCCAGTCACTAGAAAAGGAGGTGATTTCAAAGTGTGCAAAAATATTGCAGCCACTTTCAAAGGTTGTCCTGGAGGGTGACAGATGGAAGGACTGAGTGGAGGGAGACTGTGGTACCAGCAGGTGGCTGTGTTCAACTCTTGACTTAGAGGAGGCAGGGTGGGCATTGTCCGTTCCATGACCATGGAGTTTTTTCAGGGGTGAAAGGAAGTGTTCATTTTATTTTTTTGGATATGTGTATGTGTTTATGTTATTATTATTTTTTGAAAAAGAATAGAGAGAGTAGCTATGACTGAAGGCCTCCCGTAATGTCATGTGGAGTCAGAGTGGTTGATTTCATATTCTGCTTCCCAGACCCAGTGGAACACATCCGGCTAGGAGCCTGAATACCCAGGTTATAGTACTGGCTTTCACATGGTTTGAATCACGTCACTTGAGATAACCTCTTCCACCCTCAGTTTACTCAAGTGTAAAATGAATAAAGTCTTCTCTATTCTTATGACTCCCCCAAGTTGTAGTGGTGACCTGCAGAGATGAATCTGAAAGCTGTTATAATCTCCTTCCTGGATAGCATATGATTTCATTGAACCTCTAGCTATGAGTTGTTGTTGTTGTTGTTATGTGCCGTCGAGTCGGACCCGACTCACAGCGACCCTTCCTTGGGTTTCTGGGGCAGTATCACTACGGAAGTAGATTGCCCAACCTTCCTTCTGATGAGTGGCTGGTAGGTTTGAACCACCAGCCTTCTGGTTAGCAGTCAAGTGCCTTAGGCACTACGCTACCAGAGCTCTGAGTTAGGCCCTGAATTATTTTTGTCCTTTTCAATAAAATGAGTAAATAAATAAATAAGATGGGCAACAATGGGATAGTACATCTTCACAAAAACACACGAATCAGGAAGACCAGGAAGAGTAATCCTCATTGTATAGAAGAGGAAATCCAAGTCCAAGATAGTGGTTTGCTGAAGGTCCCCATAGATGGAATTGTCCCTGGCACTCAGATCTCTTGACTTTTAATTTTGTGCTTTGCTACCTTGCCGACCCTCCTCCCCATCCTCCTCCCAATTTATAAGTTCTGGACCCAAGAGTCAAAACCATCATTTGCTAGTTGTTTTCCAGCTTGTTTCCAAGATGATCACCATTCATCTCAGTTCCCTCAACTGATCTTATCTCAGCCCTGCCAGCCCTCCTGATTACTGTGTTTACACTTTTCAAATATCTGTGATATTGGTATCATTTGCCCTGTTAAATGCTACTTAATGAGCCTGTTGGTATTTGTCCATGTTTAATCTTCCCTCAGTGCCTCTGGACCCTGATCATTCAATATTCTGGATTTCTTCCAGTTGACATCCTCTTTTTGCTGTTGAAGCGTCAAGAGAAGCGAGGTTAGGGATGGGTGTCCTGGCCCCTACGTTGCCTCTGGGCTGTGCAAGCAGAATGGTCCAGGCCCATTGTGTTCCTTCAACATAGATAAGACACCTGCAGCCAATGTCTCATCTGTCACCATCCCCATCTCTTTCAATATTATTTTGTTTGGTTTTATCCTCTTTCAATCCTGCTTCCTTCAATCATATTTGGGCTTGTACTTCTTGACTGTATATTTCCCTTATTCTTTCCCTACCTCTTCAGTTTGTTTTCTTTTGGTCATTGTGTATCCTTTTAAGTGGGATATTTGACTTTACTATTGCTGGAAGATTTCATTAAGCTATCTTGCAACCCTGAATGCAGGAATTATTAGACTACACCTCATGGACCAAATCTGGCATGTTTTTGCATGGCCCACAGCCAAGAATTTTTTTAAATATACTTTTAAAAGATTGTAAAAGCTCAAACAAAACAAAAAAGAATGCATGGCAGAGTCTGTATGTATCACATAAAACCGATAGTATTTACTACCTGATCCTTTGTAGAAAAAATGTTCTATAAATTTTTACAGTCATTTGTACAACAGTGTCATTGAATGCCTGAGTTGGAATGGTCCCTAGGAGAGCCCAACCTTATTATTATATTACAGAGGAGGATCAGAAAGGTTGACCAGAAGTCACTTAAATGAATTAGTTACAGAGCTAGGACTAGAAGCCAGGTCTTATGATAGTCCCTGGCTGGTGCAAATGGTGAAGAACTTGAGTACCAGCTGAAAGGTTGGTGGTTCAGACCCACCTTCTGAGGTGCCTCAGAAGACAGTCCTGATGATGTGCCTCTGAAAGGTCACAGTCTCAAAAGCCCTATAGAGCAGTTCTGTTCTGCAAACATTGGGTCACCATGAGTCAGAATCGACTTGACTGCAACTGACAAGAACAACAATATTAAGCCAAAGCTAATAATTTTTCCATTAACCCACCTTTCCTCTTCCCAAATATGCTACACTTTCTGAAAATACTCTTTCTGTGGTCCTTAACCACCATATGCATTGACAAGACAGTGTCCTTGTAGTACTGAATTCATTCTTTCCTCCATATTTTTAGGGAGCTCTGATGGTGCAGTGGATAAAGCATTCATCTGCCAACCAAAAGGTTGATAGTTCAAACCCACCAGCTACTCTGTGGGAGAAAGATGAGGCAGTCTGCTTCCGTAAAGACTTACAGCCTTGGAAACATTATGGGACAGTTCTACTCTGTTCTATGCTATGAGTAGGAATCTACTTGATGGCAGCGGGTCACATATTTTCAGGAGCAAAGACCTAAAATTTATTGAGTTCAACCTCCTCCATTCTACACTTGAGTCCTTTCTTTGACCATCTCAACAAATCTATCTTGACCATCGTCAACAGCCTTCCACTTGAGTATTTCCAGCAGAATCTCTTCCCAGTGGCCCTGCTTCCATCTCTGCACAGCTCTGACAATGAAGAAATTCTCTGTTGTGATGTCACCCATTTCGTTTCTTATTCGTGTTATTTGTATTCTCTCCCTCTTTTCCTTTGTTGAATTTGCCAGTGGTTTGTCAATTTTATTCATCTTTTCAAAAAACCAACTTCTGGTCTTGTTGATTTTTTCTATAGCCCTTCTATTTTCTGTTTCATTGATTTCTGCTCGAATCTTGATTATTTCCTTCCTTCTGGTGACTGTGGGAGAAATTCTCCCTAGTACCAAGCCCAGACTGATGTCCTGGAGCGTCTCCCACTTCGTTGATCCAGGGCTTCAAATCGGTTCATTCTGGTTTGATGCCCTGCTGAGAATTTGCGTTTCTATCCCAGATACTGAGTCAGAATTTATATTTTAACAAGGTCCCCAGATGATTCTTATGGATATCTGGCGTGGAAATGGAAATTCTCAGTAGGAAGTCAAAGTAGAATGAACCAGTTTGAAACCTTGAAGTGGTCATGTCTGGTACAGACCATACTGAGTGTGTCTGCCCACTTTATGCACTAGAAGGCAACTGGCCACACCCAGGTCTTCTCTTTCTAATCCCAACAGCCTCAGTTTCTAAAGTTGTTCCTTATCTGTTCTGAATTTCTTTCCTTTTGCTCAGTGTTATTTTTATTCCATTGAGATAGGAGGGAAGGAAGGAAGGGAGAAAACACCTGGCAGGTCAGTAAGTGTGCCCCGTGAGTTCATTCTCTTCTAGTTGTTGGGTGAACAGGCAAATTTAATTCCACTTAACTCCACAAACAGTGTTTCTCTGCTATTCATAAGGTTTTCTGTCTCGTTCTGCTGTGCATGGGGTCGCCATGAGCCGGAAACGACTCGATGGCACCTAACAACAACAACAACAACAACAACAACAACAACTCCACAAAGTGGAGTTCTGGAGCCTTGACGTTTTCTTCTGCACATCTCTTACCCATGGGTCCAGTGCCTTTCTGTTTGTAGAGACAGACAGCGAGGAAGATGGAGGCAGGGTACCTGGGCTACAATTCATGCCTGTTGATTGATTTCAACTCATGGTGACCTCGTGCATGTCAGAGTAGAAGTGTGTTACATACGGTTTTCAATAGCTGAGTTTTGGAACTAGATGGCCACACCTGTCTGAGGGAACTGGCTGGTGCTGAACCTCCAACCTCTCAGTTGACAGCAGAGTGTGCTGTCTTCACCATTAGGGACTCCTGGGCGTACCTACCAAATGCCACTCATAAATTGACTGTTTACTGAGTGCCTTCCTGATAGGTGCTGCTCATTTCCAACACGGGCTTTAAGGATGGGATGCAGAGGAGGAGTGGAGGCTGAGGGAACTGAGAAACCTGTTCATTCAACATTCTATTCAATATGTGTCATGCACAAGGGATCGTATTAAGCTTTATGGGAATTAAACATTTGTAGTTTGATAATACAAAATAAAAAATCATAAAGGCCATGAGAGAAATTGTGACTAAATTCTCTAGTTGTTCAGAGGAGGGAGAGATTTTTTTTTTTTTGTGGAGGGGAAGGGTGCCATGAGACAAGAGGAGGCTTTTGTGGGATAATGTCAGGTAGGGCTTTCTGGGAAAAGTGGCATGTGAGGGGACTTCAGGATGGGTAGGTGGGGTCTGGCCTCACAGAGATGAGGGGACGGGCATTCCAGAAGACAGCGGTCTGATGTAGACACACTTCTCACCTTTCACCCTTCCTCAATCCCTTCCAACTCTCCAGTCTCACGTTCTTTCTTTGAGCTCTTAATTTCTGAAGTCAGCTGGGGAATGTTTCTGTCTGGCCTCCAAACCCACTCTTTCTGTCCCTCCTACCCTGCCCAGAAGCTGTCAACCTTCACAATGACCTTTTCCTGCCCAATTGCCAGAGCTGGATCCTTGGAGCTTCTGGTTTCACTCGTAGCTGCCTCCTCTGCTCTTTAGGTCTTTTGGTCCTCTTGCTATTCCCACTGCGGAGGTCTAAGAGTGTGTCCTATGGGAGGGAGGACCCTGCCGGAAGTCTGGAGCTATGCTTTCCCTGGCACTGCCTAGTACACAGTGGGTGCTCAACAAATCTATGTTGTTTGGATGCATGCGTGGCCCTGCTCCCTTGGGACTAAGTCCAACTCATCTTTGTAGTCTGAGTACCTAGCAAGGTACTATCTCTAGCAGCTATGTTTACTGAATGAAAGACGAGTTTCTGAGTGCCTGACGTGTCACCCTCAGAGGTTAATTCCTTTGGACCAGAGATGCTCTTAACCTCATGGTCACCTATGAGAATACAAACACTTCTGACAGGGCTAAGTCTTTATCAACAATTAACATTTTTAGGGAGATTATTGAGCTTCAGTTGAGGGAAGACTATTAACATAGAGAGAGAGGAAGGGGGAAGGGGGCCGGGGCAGAGACACTATCCCCATTTTGTGCTAGAGGCCTGGGCCCCTGGGCCGGAGCAGGACCAGGAATAGACTCAAGGCTCAAGAGGCAACATTCCAAGGTCGGTGTGATAAGGGCTGGTCGTCATTTATTGAAAATTCATGTCATTTTTCTCCTCATAAACCTTCACTGGCTCCCCACTGCCTACAGAGTAAAGCCTATGCTTCTCAGCCTGGCATTTGAAGCCCTGGGGCCTACCCCTACCCCATATATCATCGTTGTCCACATTTGTATGTCTCATCCAGTTCACCCAATGGCACCCCATTTGCTCCCTCCCACACTAGGTGTCATTGCACGTATAGGTCATTGCTTATGCTGTTCTCTTTTCTCCATTCTTCAAGATTTGCTGAAATACTGCCCCTCTCTGAAGCCTTTCCTGACACCCTGGTCTGAAGGAATCCCTTCCTTCCTCTCTGTTTATCTCAGTTGTTACAATATGTTGAAGTCATGATTCTAAGAAGTTCCTACCTGTATCCTCAGAGAGGAAAGATTGGAACTGAGTTTGAATGTCCAATCTTTTTTGTAATATTTAGTGTTAGCTCTTACATTATTATTTTTTTTAAGTTTATTTTTAAAGTTTTACTGTGATTTGGATGGAAGTTGACAGAGCAAATTCATTTTCCACACAGCAGTTCATACACATTTTGTTTTATGACATTGACTGCAATCCCCACAACGTAACAGCTCTCTTCCCACTTCCTCCCTTTAGTTACCTCTTCCCTGTGTCCTTCTTTCCTATGCTTTCCTGCCCCCTAAGCTATCTTCCTGTGCAAACACTGCCCTTCTATTCTCCCATGATTGATCATCCTAAGGTAACTCTTGCATTCTTAAGGAGCGCTTGTGGGATACTGGTTAAGGCATTTTGCTGTTAACTAAAAGGTCAGTGTTTCACACCCACTAGCTGCTCCGTGAAAGAAAGATGATGCAGTCTGCTTCTTTAAAGATTTACAGACTTTGAAACCCAATGCGGGGTCACTATGAGTTGGAATTGACTCCATGGCAATGGGTTTGATTTTGATTTCTTTCACTCTTGATGTTGTTGGTATTATGTGCTGTTGAGTTGGACTCGATCCGACTCACAGCGACCCCTCCTTTGGTTTCCAAGGCAGTATCACTATGGAAGTAGTTTGCCCAACCTTCCTTCTGAGAAGTGGCCAGTGGGTTTGAACCGCCAGCCTTCTGGTTAGCAGTCGAGTACCTTAGCCACTATGCTACCAGAGCTCCTTACACTCTTGATAGTATTTTTCTTTCTTTCTTTTGCAATAGCTCTATTGAGGTGTAATCCATATACCATATGGTTGCTTTTCAAAAGTATGATATTTCATTAGGCACCTAGAGTATGCTTGTAAGAAAGGGATAAAAAGTTACATTTCCCCTGTTTAACACAGAAGGATCCGAAAGGTAAGGTGATGTGCAAGCTGCAGAGCTAGAACTAGGACTTTCTGAGCCTCCTTCTCCTTACCTATCAAATGCAGGATCCTGCCTCCTTCATCTTAAGCATATTGAAGCTCTGGGGAATGAGGAATGTGGAGGTGTTCCAGAAAGTCTGGTGGGTAGAAGAAAGTGTGAATGTATGGGCACGTATGTCCTTTTGGCTGGCAAGGACACTCTGTTCTTGTTTTCTATTAAAATTTTGACCCTTTCCCCCTTAGGCTATGTTTTCCACTAATCGTGGGACTGTTGGAGGCTTTTTCCTGGCAGGCCGAAGTATGGTGTGGTGGCCGGTAAGTTTTCCCTGAAATACTGTTTGCTTAACTATGATGTTCCCTTTAGGGACCCAGTTTCTTCTTGATTTTGAATAGCAGGAATTCTTCTTCCCCCCCTTAGATGTCTGCTAGTGGGTCTCCTTTCCCCCTAGGTTTCCTGGGCACCTCTAATCTACTGTTGTAAGGGAATTGCCTTTAAGTAAATAATGGACTTGGACTCCTTCCAGGAACAAATAGAAGAAAAAGACTTCACAAAGTGGTCAGTGAGGAGAAGCAAAAAAAAAAAAAAAAGCATGCAGATCCAGCTGTTCTTGAGCAAGTTGGAGCCTCCACTCCTGAATCTATAAAATGGGCATGATAATATTTACCTTCCAGAGTTCTAATTAGGAATCTCTGGGTGGTGCAAATGATTAAGCTCTTTCTTGACTACTAGCTGAAAGGTTGGCAGGAACTCAGGTAGTGTAGTGGTTAAGGCATTTGGCTGCTAACCAAAAGGTCAATGGTTCAAACCCACCAGCTGCTCTGCCGAAGAAAACCGAGGCAGGTAGTCTGCTTCTGTAAAGATTTGCAGCCTTGGCTGCTTATGCGCAGGGAGACAGCTCAGGGGGCAGGAGTGCATGGAGGGAAGGACACAGGGAAGAGGGAGGAAGTGGGAGGGGAGCTGTTGCATTGTGGGAAATTGTAGTCAATGTCATGATATAAAGTGTATGTGAACCGCTATATGGAAAGTGAATTTGCTCTGTAAATTTTCACCCAAATCACAATATAAATAAATAAATACAATAAAGGAAGATTTGCAGCGTTGGAAACCCAATGGGGATTGCTATGAGTTGGAATCTATTCGATGGCAGTTACTTACTTTTTTGTTTTGGAGCTGAAAGTTTGGTGGTTCAAACGTATCCAGGTGTGTCTCTGGAGACAAGGTTGGTGATCTGCTCCCAAAATGTCACAGCCTTGAAAACCATACAGAGCAGTTCTAGTCTGCATGCCTGGCATCACCATGAGCCAAAATCACTTGATAGCAACTAACAACAACAATAATAGGGTACTGTGAGAAGTGGAAGGAGCTCTGGTGGTATAGTGCCTAAGGCATTTGACTGCTAACCAGAAGGCTGGCAGTTCAAACCCGCCAGCCAGTCCATGGAACGAAGGCTGGGCAATCTACTTCCATAAAGATTTACTGCCTTGGAAACCTAAAGGGGGACACTATGAGTTGGATTCAACTCAATGGCAGTGAGTTAGTTTAAGAGTTATGAGAAGTGGAGCTCTGGTGGTGCAGTGGTGAAGGCATTGGCTCGCTAACCAAAAGGGCAGTGGTTCAAATCCATCAGCCGCTCCTTGGGAGAAAGATGAGGCAGTCTGCTTCTGGAAAGATGTACACCCTTGGAAACCCTATGGGGCAGTTTTACTCGACCGACGGCACATAACAACAATAATAACAACAGAGGGCTCAATAAATAAATACTCATTGAATAGATGGAGGAGAAGCCCCCTACTATTTTCAATCACAATTTTCCTCTAGATTAGTTTTTCTGATTTTTTGGTGAATTTTTTATTTTGTATATTTAAGAAGCATTTTTTTTTTTTTTTAACTTGCATGTGAGCAGACACTTTCCCAATCAAAAGCCATATGCTTGGGCAGAAGAGAAATTGAGAGGGAGGCTCTGACTGGCTTATCAATTCAGGCCAGTGACTGTGTTCCATTCTGTTTGTGGTAAAAATATATACAACAAAACACTTGCCAATTCCAAAATATATACAACAAAACACTTGCCAATTCCACAAATTCTACATGGACAACTCAATGTCATGGATTTTGTTCATCATGTTGTGTAACCATCACTATTATCCAGCCAAATTTTTTCCATCACCACCAGCAGCCCACGATCCAGTGTTCTCACTGAAACAACTGGTTGACTAACTTGGCAGATTGTGCAATTCCTTGGGCTTATGATACAGGTAAGACTGGCTAGTGAAAGAATGGGTAATGACGCATATGCACAGAGATGGGAGGGACAGTTGTGAGTTGGCTGGAGGAAGAGACGCAAGAAAGGAGACTGTCATTGTCATGGTATGTATAGCACAGAGAGAAGTTGCCAGGAAATTGTGCCACATCCTGCCGTTGGCCTTTAGCCAGCCATTTTGGGATGGATTTTTTTTTTGTAACTAGCACTTTCACAGTTGCTTGGGTTATCTATCCATGAAATCATTTCTGTTTAATTCTTAAGGTGACCAGGAACACTGGGCTGATGCTGATTTCTATGGAGGGTGCCTTTTGATGGTCTCTCCTGACCTCTCATGGGCATACACTTTCAGATACCTTCTATCTTGTTCCTGCCAGGGCCTTTTTGCCTTTTCATGCTTTGGATTTTGATGCTTTCCTAAAAGTTGATGTTAAAGTGACTGGGATCTTAAAAGCTTGCAATCAGCCATCTAGATGCAATGATGGGTCTCTCCTCATTCAGGGCAAAGAAGAATGAAGAAAACCAAAGACACATGGAAACAATTAGTCTAAGGGACAGGTACACCATGCAGTCCTCAGCCTATATGATGATGAGACCAGAAGAATGAGGTGGTGCCTGGCTACCACTGTCAACCACTCGAAGGGTGATCTATGTAGGAGATCCTGGATAGTGTAGGAGAACAGTGTGGGGAAAAAACCTCAAAATCATAATTTAAAAAAAAAAAAGGGACCAGGTTTGCTGGTCTGATAGAGCCTGGGGGAACCATTGAGACTATGGCCCCTAGCTGCCCTTCAGGGCTGGAACTGAACCCACACCTGTGGCTTCCAGCCAAACAAAAGATAGCCATAGGAGCTGAACATTTATATTAGGTAGATATACTCCTTGGAGAGATCAATCATGGGAGAATAGAAGGGCTGTGTATGCACAGGGAGACAGCTTGGGCGGCAGGAGTGAATGGGTGGGAAGGCCACAGGGAAGAGGTAACTATGGGGAGGAAGTGGGAAGAGAGCTGGTGGATTGTGGGAAAATGCAGTCAATGTCATGAGACAAAATGTGTGTGAGCTGCTGTATGAAAATGAATTTGCTCTGTAAACTTGCACCCAAATAATAATAATAATAAGTTGACGTTAAAGAGGCAGTGCTGACCCCACCATTCAAGATAAGCCTGAGTAGTCCCTCTAGAGCTCTATCCAATATGTGGTATTACCACGTTAGCTATTAAGTTAAATAAAATTAAGAATTTAATTTCTCAGTCACATTAGCCACATTTCAAGTGCTTGATAGCCACATGTGGGTAGTGGGTACCATATTAGACAGCACAGATCTTCATAGAAGGCGATTTTAAACAGTGCCACTTTAAAATTTTCAGCTCCATACCTGGTATGAAATTCTAGTGGACTTGAGATTTGCTGAATTAGAGAGCTTAACAGGATCTTAAAGTTCACCTTAATTATTTTGAAAGTAGTGCATTCTCCCACTCCATCTAGGGTTTCATCTTCCCTATAGCAAGTCTGCCAAGTGCTATCTGGCTTCAATCTACATCCAGTCTCCTTCCTCCCCCAGCTCTGATGGGAAATGCACCACTTTCAAGGTAAACCATTTTATTTTCAAATTGCATTTTTTCCTCATCTGTTTCTTGTAATCAAGATGAAATTATGAAATTACATCTCTTCATGTAAAATTTAGAGGGCTGATTTGTTGGGGGCACCTCAACATAAAGACAACAAAACCTTCACAACTTGACAAATAAGCAACATCATGATAAATGGAGAAAAGATTGAAGTTGTGAAGGATTTCATTTTACTTAGATCCATGATCAATGCCCATGGAAGCAGCAGTCAAGAAATCAAACGATGTTTCACATTGGGCAAATCTAGTGCAAAAGACCTCTTTAAAGTGTTTAAGAGCAAAGATGTCACTTTGAA